CCCGAAAGGGACTGAAGGAAGGGGACTTAGTTCTATCAGTATTGAGGCCAGCCCATTGAACCGTATTGCTGAGGCCAACCCATTAAATTGTACTACTGAGGAATGAAACCATATTTAGGTGTTTGGCTTCTCGGTATTCTAAGATTGTAAGTATATTATGAAAAATAATAGTATTGATTCAAATTTAACTTTTAGTTGTAATTGTAATTGTTTTAAAGAAGTGCATCTGGAGCATTGTTTCTGATATATGTAGTTATTGTGTTCTTAATGTTTGTGGTATTTCTTAAAACTAAGCAGTGTTATATGCGTAGCAAAGAATTTTAAAATAAAATTGTGTTGTATGAATTAAGTGTGCAATCATTGTGAAATCGTGCAGTCAACTAACTACTCCCCCAGCCAGTGCATCAAACGAATCAGTAAGTTGTGTGGGATTTTCTCTATTCCATAACCCACTAGAGACCGGAGGCTGGCATGCTGCTTTGCTGAAACTTTTGTTTGACTCCAGTGTCTCCTGAAAACCAAGGTACGTGGCTTAGTTCCACTTAGCCACGATGGTTGTAGAGACTGCACCACAACGCCCCCTTGACCTGCCCCCTCCCATTCCCAAGCCTCCTTTTGCCCACTCCATCAGCACTCCCCACATTGTTTGTGGAGCCCAGCACCTCGTCCTTGCCAACTGAACATCCTTGGACTCCGCCCCTTTTGCTCCTCTGCTCCAGGGCTGGAATTCAAGGGGGAATTGCCCTGGGATAACTAAGAACTTGCCTAGTGGTTCCCAATCCCCACTACTGACCCAGAGCCATATGTGGGGAGTCCACTGCTGTGCAAGGAGCAAACATGCACTAGACCAGACAGAGCCAGGGAGCACTCCCCATCAGCAGCCTGAAGAAGTAAATATAATATGCTGTAATTATATAATCCATTATTAACACATTAATCCATCAAAAAGTATGTTTATGTCATAATACATTTATATTAATCTTAAATGGGGTGCTGCTAAATTCTAAAAAGTTCTGGAGGAGTGTCCCAAGTATAAAAAGATGGAGAACCACCACTGCTCTAGGAGATGAGCGCAACTTACTGCTGTGGTAGCAGTCAGCAGAATGGGAGACTGCTGTATTGCTGAGAAAAGCCCAGCGTTTATGCTGCTCCTGGACGGGGGGTCAGAAATCTGCAGTTATCCCCAGGTTCCTGAACTACTTTCAGACCTTCCAAAATGTATTTTAAATCAAGAAAAGGCAGCTAGAATATATTGCACAATTTACATTCATTTTGTTAGGTAAGAAATGTGCAGCTTTATTGGCTTCAACCATAAGTATTATAAAAATATTTAGTAAAATATTTAATATTTTAAAATACAAATATTTAAGCCAAGTAGATCTGAAACATACTAAATAATTTACAAATTAAAATATTTATGCTATTTTAACAAATATGAGAACAATGGCTGCAGTACTTTTTCTTAGTACCTAGAACACATTTATGGACAGAGGCATCATTGTGTGTGCTAACCCTGTCTCTCTCCCCAACATGTAAAGAGAGGCCATCTGTTACATGACTAATTGACACAAACAAGTAGAGACCTGAAAAACTAGAGTAATAGCTGATCCTCTTTTATGTTCCCTCTCTCTCCTTACCCTTTTGATGACTTGAAAGACCTGCACTATTTATTCTCATATAAGAAAAGCATTTCAATATCATCAGTTTCCCAGTTAGATGAAAAGGGAACAGAATAGTTTTTTTTATACTGCACTTCACAACCTTATTTTCAGATAACAACATCCCAACTTCATAATAGCAGGCAAATGTAGTTACATTACTCTCTCCAAGCAATACAAGACATCTTTACTAATTTACTATTATCCATCTCTATATTTTGAATTATTCCTTTATAAGTATTTTCAAATAAGAGAGTATTTCAATACCTGATGACCAAACTAAAACAGAGCACTCTATGGGACTGAGATCTTGAGACATTTGAGAAATCAGTTTCTCTAATGTATATCCTTGTCTAGGCATAGCAATATCATTTTTCTTTAAAAATTTTACTGGACACAGGTCATTGCCTCCATCACCTATATATACAATTTGGGTATAGTTTACTCCTTGTTGTAACTGCTTATCTACAAATTCTTCTAAAACTTTTCTTTTGCATAAGTTCTTGGGGCACTCTACACAGGAATGATCATGAAAATTCTGCACAGTAAGATATCCAGTGTCACTGAAAGTTGCAGGATTTGTAAACACTTCATCAAACACCCTGTGAAAGTTGCCAACACCTAAAATCCAGTCAATAAATACTGTATTAGAATCAGAAATGATTATGCAGTCAAAGAGTTCTTTGTTCATGCCAATGAAGCCTAGAAGATCTGTCATTCCTGTAGTGAAAGGGATTGTTGTCATCATTCTTTTCATCTCAGCTTCTTTTACTCCATTGTCTCCCAAATAGATAAACACTCTGCCCATGTATTCAGTCCAGTGTCCCTTTTTATATGAACTCTTTATTCCAATAGGCAGCTTTTCCTCAGGAGCACATTTCACAATCCAGGTGTCACTGTTTTCATCTATGACTGTATAGTCAAAGTCAAAAGCCAACAGAAACTTCATAGTTGACTGGTAAGAGTCTATTCTGAAAAGAGAAACAAATATTGTGTTGATATAAGCAGGGCTTTTCCTGCATGCTGAATTCCTACCCCGATTTCCTCCTGGAAAATGTAAAATGTTGTAAGAAAGAGCCAGGAGGAACATCTAAACATAGCCAGCTACTCATGGATGCTACAGCTGAGGGAGACATTGTGCTGAACGTAGCAAAGAGTTGGCAAAGGTCTAATACAACATCCACCTATGCTTTTTAACCAAATGATTAAAGAGTAGCTAAACACCACAGTTACTCACTCATCCTTGCAATCTTTTGCACACTCAGTCTTGTGACCATTGGACACCAACAGCTACACAGCCAGGACTTCAGTCCCAAATTCTTCATCTACAACACTGGCTGGGACTCCCCAGCCCACACACGGCCCTCAGGGGTGTCTTGCAGAAACCTCAAATACAAAGCAGCTGGAGCTGCTGCGGCACTGTTGATTCAGGCCCCGCTCCTCTCCTAACCTGGAAACCCGGGAACGTTGTTGGAGCCAAGATGATGAAAGCAGAAAGCGCTTGCAAGAAGAAAACAAGGGTGAGGGTGAACTTATCCCACGCCACAGGCACCTAAAGCACCAGCGTCCGCACATTACAGCTCCCTAACGCGCTGGCGCCCCCTGAGCCTCTGGAGGTCAGTCGGGTCGGGCCGCGGGGGGCTCTGGGCTGCGCTACCCAGCTCCTGCTCCGGTAACGTCAGGCTGCCCCACAGCACCGACAGGCAAGAAGAAAACAAGGGTGAGGGTGAACTTATCCCACGCCACAGGCACCTAAAGCACCAGCGTCCGCACATTACAGCTCCCTAACGCGCTGGCGCCCCCTGAGCCTCTGGAGGTCAGTCGGGTCGGGCCGCGGGGGGCTCTGGGCTGCGCTACCCAGCTCCTGCTCCGGTAACGTCAGGCTGCCCCACAGCACCGACAGGAAGATGCCGCAGCCCCCACCCCCGTCCCGGGCTGCATCGCCACAGCCCCGAGGGCGAGGCGGAGCGGTACCGGCGCGACCCAGGGGACCTGTGGCCGCCGGCGGCCCCCGCCCCGCCGGG